TTCGAGGATGCTTATAAAAAGGGCCCCTAATTTATACAAAATCCTCAGGAATGATAAAGATGATATAAGGTCAGAAGAGAAAGCAGGGGTTTATAAAATTCCGTATGAGAACATGCAATTGGGCGTTAAAAAAGACTACATTGGAGTAACCACTAGAAGTTTAGGGCTTAGAATCAAGGAACATAGTTATAATATCAGAAAGGGGTCTAATGCAACAATTTTGTCCCAAATGGCACAAGCACCAGGAGCTATAGTCAAATGGAATGAGGCGACCATCATAAATCCTTTATCTTCTCCATCTTTGGCGTTAACAGCGGAAAAGTTGCAGATTTATAGGAGTAGATTACAAGAAGGCTGTCTGAATGCGAGGGACGCAGAAAGTCTTCCCTCTGCATGGAAGTTTATGGTTAAGAAGTTTAATAAGGGCTCTAACCAATCAATATAGTAGTTTTATTGAATGTCTTAGTAATTGCATTTATTAATACTTATATATTCATTTGTTGCATTTTTATATATTTTTTATATTTTATTTTTGTTGTATGTTGGTTATTTAATATTTTATTTTAATTGTACCTTATTTAATTTTGAATTTAAATTTTGTATTCCATTGATGGAATTCTAATTCAAATGTATTCTAAACCTGAAGATGGCCTGTGAATCAGGCTGAAAACGTTAGTTTGTTCAAATAAATTATATTTCTCGGCAAGAATAAGGTGTTAAGTATTTGTATATGTATAATGATTTGCTGAGTACTTTATGATATTATTTCTTAATATTCCAAATTAAATGTAATTTAATTTTAATACAATAATTGTAAAATATGAATAAGATAAAGACTATAAAGCAAAGATTTTCTAAATATAAAATATTAATTCTATCAAATAACTTGATTGATTAAAGAAACGTTTAAAATTTTAAAATTATTAATTAATAAAACAAATAAACTTCTGCAATATATATAGCCATTTATGCCATTGCTAATATCATATAAGTATAATAATATAAAGCAAATTACTGTTATGTTCTTACTAAAGCAGAGATTGCTTTAGTAATTACAGTAAAATAATATTGAAATCTTCCAGACTAATTCAGAAAAAAATAAAATGCAAAATTAAATGAAACAATTTAAGAATGCTTCATTACCGCAAACAAAACCGTTGTGTCAAACTGAATAAAGAGCAAAAATGTAGGTTGATGTAATGTGAAGCTACGAAAATTTCGTTATGCTGTAATTGTTCTTTAACAGGTGGGCAAATGAAGCTTTTTGGTTGAAAATGGTGGACAAACGAATGACACAAGTTATTTGAAAAAATTCAATTGGGGATAAGAACTTCACAGACCCGTGACGTATCAGTGGCATGGATCGATCGTCGATGATTTATATAGTTATATTTTTACAAAATACAGTCAGATGTGTATAAAATCATTAAGCAAATATATAATTGTCTTCTCGCAAAATTCTAGATTTTAATTCAATTTTTCCAGTGTATATACCACGTAAAGCTTATTTTATTTGAATGTCATCTATGGGAAGGAACTCGACAAACTGTTCTCGAACTATAGTATAATAAAAAGAAAGAAAGAAAACACAATTTCATTTTATGCGCTTTAAAGAATACGTTGAGTTTAGAAACATTGGATTTTTCTTTTCTTTAAGACATATTGTGAAAAAATACAAGATAAAGACTTATATGAATAAAAGTATTTTTGTAGTCTTCCTTGTCGTTCTTTTCACAATCACAGGAAACATGATTCACATTGGCGGAGTAGACCTTTTACCTGATTTACATAAATTTACGCGGGAAAGATTAGAAAAATAAGAAAGGACGACAAGGAAGATTACAGAAACCAACAAATATACTTTTATTAGTAGGAGTCTTTATTATCTTGTATTTTTTACAATATGTCTTAAAGAATATATTTCGTC